GAGTGCGTGGAGGTTCCCTCTGCCTCGGAAGAGATCAAAGCTGGAGGCCTTACGCGGGGGTTGAGGCCGGGGAAGTGCAGAGATTCGTTGGCGAAGAGGCCAGCGAGGTCCTTTGATGAGTTACTTGAGAGGTGTAGCAAATATCATGGAGGAATCGGAGGCTGACTTCATCCGAAATGACAGAACAAAGGCCAAGCAGGTAGACGAGAGGCCTCGACAGGGTGATCGGCGAGCTCCCCCTAAGGAGGCTAAGGTCGAGGATCGGTTTAGGGGTCCAAGGTATGAGCATTACAAACCGCTTAACGCACCACATCAGGAGATCCTGGAGATGATGGAGAAACGGGGGGAGGATAAGCTGCTCGCACAACCAAAGTCCCTACCCCCACCGCAAAAATTTTCAGAAGGAAAGGATAGATATTGTCGGTACCACCGAGACTATGGTCATCTACTAACTTTTGTCGAGAGTTGAAGGATGAGATTGAGCGGCTCATTAGGGCCGGTCATTTGAAGGAGTTCGTGATCCAGGATAGGGAGCGCCGAGAAGATCACCGGGAGAAGCGTGAGTCAGGGGACAAGCGGCGGAGGACTGATGAGCAGCCTGACAGACCGGTGAAGAACGGTGTAATACACATGATCGCGGGAGGTCCTACGGATGGAGACTCACACAGAGAGAGGAAGAGGACCTACCGGGGTAAGGGTATGGCTAATGAGGTGGTTGAGGTGCAGGTGCAGAGGAGTTTGGCCACCTTGAAGTTTGGAACTGGCGATGTGCAGGGGCTTGCGTCCCACACAGTGATGCCTTGGTCATCACTGCGGAGGTGGCTAGTTACGATGTGCAAAGGGTACTCATAGACACAGGAAGCTCGGCGGACATCATTTTCCTAAGGTGCTTGCAGCAGATGGAGTTAGACGTGAAGGTCGAGTCGGTCCATACTGCCCTCTATGGCTTCAGTGTAGTGAGGTCCGTCCCGTTGGTGAAGTTAGTTTGACTGTGGCATTGGGAAGGTCGCCTTTGAGGAAGGTGAAGATGGTTCGCTTCTTGGTCGTGGATGCTAGCTCGGCCTACAACATCATACTGGGGCGGCCTAGCTTGAATTCATTCCAAGCAGCCATTTCGACTTATTGCATGAAGATCAAGTTCCCCGTAGGGGATGAGGTTGGGGAGGTGACTGGAGACCAGTTGCAGTCTCGGCGGTGCTATGAGGTCACATTGAAGACGGCCGAGGCGCAACATAAGAGGAAGAGTGATGACCTGCCTGAGTGCTCCCGTCGGGAGAAGAAGCAAGAATTGGGAATTAGCTTCTCGGACGAGCTAATGGAAGATATAGGGGCGGTTGTTGCCACGATCGTGGAACGTATCGCCCCTATATCTTCCATTAGCCTGTTGAGTAAGAAAGAAGTAGTTGGGCGTCAACTTCATGTGATTTAAGTTTAAAAAGTATAAAGATGAGGCGTGAGGGTGTACCTTACTAAGGTAGAACATGGTGTCACTAGCTCGGCGCTCCTTGGACGACCACTTGGTCATTTCTCCATCGGGGAAGATGGAGAGAAGGTAGGTGCCTGACGCCTTCGTGTCTTTGTTGCCCGCGAATTGGTCCAGTACAGTAATGGAGTGCGGCTCGTCACTTTGGGAGGCGACCTTGCGTTTTTCTTTGAGAAGTCCCTGGTTGGCAGTTGACGGAAGCGCTGTTGTGAAGTCGCCTGCTTTGTCGGTAGGTCGGTCGTCACTAGGACCTCATCGGCGGCGGGGGTTGTCAGTGAGACCTCGTCGGTGCCAATGGTGGTCTTGGGGACATAAGGGCTGACGACGGTCTCCATGAGCTCCTCTGCGAGACAAATAAAAAATACGAATATTAGTAATCACATTATACGCATATGACTAACATGAATGAGAAGGTAGGTGATATGACGACCACTTGGGCGTCGAGGCCTACCTATGTTATCAACAGGGTCCGCAGCATGGCTCGACAACTTGAAGTGCCGAAGAAGTTGGTCGCTAGCTGTCAGCTTCGCCACGAGAAGGCGGCGAGCATTCTACTGGTCAAGAAGGGTCTGGTAGGCGGTCTTTTTCTTTGGTTTCTTAAGTTGTGTCTGTGGGTTTTGGAAGTTTAAGTTTCCAACCTCGGGGTAACTCCATTTTCCTAACAAGTGTGGCTACTTGGGTGTCCGAATATAAGCATGTGGAATGAGGTAGGTAGGCATGTGATGGATGATGGGGTACCTAGTTACATGTGCTAGGTGCATGAATAAAAATTTCATCAAAAAATAAAAAATTAAATTCAAAATTTAAGAAAAGATGAGAAAGACAAAAAGGAGAGAAACACCATGGGTGAGTTCGGTTGTGGTTGGTCCTCGGTACACCGATATTCGACAGGTCGGCATACGGTCGGCTT